AAGATCTATATCTGGCTCACCTTTATATGGTAAACTGTTTGTCGTTATGGGAGTTGGTGGGGCAGGAAAAGCACTAGCTTACGGTGGAAAATAAAAGGGTGTAAGAGTAGTTGTTGCCAATCGTAAATATGGTGAGAAAATCTTGTTTGGTATAGTTTGATTATTTGTAGTGATGAATGATGATGCATGGATGATCTGTTTCTTTTCCTTTTGACTATCAGCCAAAGCCAAAGTGCTCAGAGGCCAAGACTGCAAGCTAAGAATATGGCTACTCGATTCACGGCTGAGTACTATTTTCTTATCTTTCTTTTTCTCTAATCTTCAATTTTTGAGTTTAGCCAATTCATTGATTTATTTTTCTTTTTAGAATTATTTTATTTTATTTTTGTTTTTCAAGTAAGTTGTTGTGGGTTCTGATTTTTGAAGCATTTTTTCTATACATCCCAAAATAATTGTACAATATCTCAAAAAAAAAAATGTTATCTCAGGTTAACAAACATTTCACGATACAATTTTAAGAAACAAAAATATTGATGTTTGGTTTTTCTTATTCTTATCAGAGCCAGCAACAGTACCGGGTTCACACCATCATCCTCATCCTTTATGATCTTCGCAATAATTGGATCAAAGGCACTCGAAAGAACTCTCCTTATCTCGTCAAAATCTTCTTGTTCTGCAACCTCATTAACTTCAAGCCATTTAAAGGCCAGATCAATTGCACTGTTGATCTTTTTCTTTTCTTGTTGGGAAAGCTTCAAATTAGTTTTGTAGGAATGATAGTATTGGAGAATACATGTTCCATCTTTGTAGGAATGATAGTATTGGCGAGTTTCAGGTATCCTGGTATTGTGGCCTCATTTCAAATTAGTGTATTGTTCTGTATTGTAAACTGTGTATGTGCTATCATATTAATAAACTGTGGCAAAATAAATGCCACGCCAAGATTAACCACGTTTGGCAAAACTATGGTAGTTTGGTTTAGTCACCTTTTTTGTTAGATTTAGCCACGTTTCGAACGTGGCTAATCAGCGTGTTTTTTGTAGTGATTAGGGGTGTTCGCGATCTGGATTGGATCGGTTTTGAACCAAAAAATCATCCGATCCAATCCTGTAGGTTTGGTCATTTAATCATCCAATCGATTTGGATTTTTTTTCAGATCCGATCCGATCCAATATTTTTCAGTTTGGATTGGATCGGTTTTCGATTTTTTTGAAAAGCCTAAAAACAGAATTTATAAAAATTAGTTTTACCAAAAACACAATTTTATCAAGGCCTTTAATTTTACCAAAATAGCCTCCACATGTAATATATAAATCACAGAGCATATTTTAACAAAGTACAAAAAAGGCCCTTAGCTATATGCTTAAATAAATATACCAGTCAGGCTCCAAGTAAGTACTAAGTACAGAGAAGGCCCGTGACAAAATTACAAAACCTGACATCAACTCAGCATATTGTTTTTTTTAGACTAATTTTTAAAAATATGATTTTTTTTCTCAATCCCTCTTGCTAGGTGCTACTACTTCTTGTTAGCAATCCCTCTTGTTAGGTGCTGCTGCTTTCTGCTAGCTATCCTCTTGTTAAGTGATTGTAAGTACCAATAAACGTCATTGAGACTTTTGGTATATGACCTTAAAATAGAATAGCCTCCCATTCCACTAAATTAATCTCACATTAAAATGAAAAAAAGGTTATTGTCAATTTTAATATTTTGACATGTTTAGGCCTGCTACTACCAGAATCACCCTATTATTATGTAAGGCATAACCAGCTACAGTAGAGACTGATCACATTGTCCTGATTTTATACCCCTCTTTTTCTAGTTTTATTGAGGGGAAGGGGACTTGTTTAGCTGCTGGATTATGCTTATAAGTAACCTTGCACCATAAGGTATGCAGTATTTGACAATGACAGGAGTAACAGGACCAACCAAAAGGAAAATAAAAAATTCAAGAATCTTTTAAGTTTATACTTGCAGGATATATTTACATATAGTGGAACAAGGAAAGTGACAGTACTTTAAAATAGAGAAATATTGAGCTACTACAAGAAAGGCATAATAAAAAATGACAGTAGTAAATTTGAGACTATGCCAAATTGCAAATAACTGGATTCAGCCCCAGGTTTCCAGTGAACTTTAGGTTAACAAACACCACCTCTTGTTGTCGGGATTTTGAAGGTAGGGTCAATCTCACAACTATAACTGAGAGAAGGAAAGTGAAAGAGAAGAAAATAATAGAAAACTCCAAATCCATTCTAGACAAACTTGACAGCAGAAACGTTAGTTCCTAAGATTATAAAAATTTCACCCTACTTCTTAATAACCATAAATGTTAGTCATAGTAGTCCTTAAGCACCAGATATATTAGTCCAACTAATATGACCAACATTTGTGATTTTTAAGAACATGATATGATGGATTTTTGTATTATCAGTGACTAATGTATAAAAGAAAGAAGTAGGAGTTAGCCTAGTTCATGCTCTGCAATTCATGATGGAGATTGTGTTTTCTGACTAAAAAGAAACTCGTTTTGAGCCCTATATGTGGATCACAAAGTGGGAGAATCAGAGAAGAACTACTTGATATTTAAGAATAGAGAAAGTTGCATACCCGTGGGAGAAGATAGCTTATGCTCACTTTCCTTTCCTTTCCTTTGCGCAATTACAAATTGACCCGATCTTGAGCAACAACAATAGCTTTTGAGCAACATCAAACAACTACTTGTTAGATCTTGAGAACAAAACGACAAAGAGAAGAATTAAAAAAAATAAAATAAGGATTATCGATCTTGTAGTGAGTACGAACTACTCAATCAGAGTGGGTGACTGGCTGATAACAGAGAGAGGCAGTGATCGATTATGGAGATAACAGAGAGAGGCAGAGAGCAAGACTGCGCGGGTGACCGATTAGGGATTTAGGGTGGGTGACTGGTTGGGTCGCGTTTGCCTATTAGGAGTTGACGGGTTAATGGGCTACCAGGTCTTGGTTTTATAATTTAGGAACAGGCCCAATATCGCGTATGTTATAAAAATATTGGATCAGTTTGGATTTGATCGGTTTTCACCAACCAAACCGAAAACCGATCCAATCCAGTCAAAATTTTCGATTTTTTTTCGGTTTTCGGTTATTTTGGTTTTCGATTTTTCGGTTCGGTCACCGCGGTTTGATTCTGTTTGGATCGGTTGTTGAATACCCTAGTAGTGATTGCTGTTTATATATGTGAGTAGGGGTGTAAATAGGCCAGGGCAGGGCAGGCTTTGGACTTCACGGCCTAAGCCTACACACGAAAATGTTTGGCCTATCTGGCCTATGATCCTATCAAAGGCTTAGTTTAAAGGCCAAGCCTGCCCTATTATTTAAAAATAAAAAGCCTACATGGCCTATGAGGCCTTTTAGGCCTACCATATTGTAAATTAAATAAATAAATAAAAAATATCTCATTCATTAAACAATATTTCCAGCATAGGTCCAAATTAAAAAAATTTTACAACAGATTTTTTAACAAGAACACATGTCATAAAAATTCTACAACAAATTTTTTAACAACAACAAAGATTGAATTTTTCTTGGCACTTCACAATCTTTTAGCGAGCCTTCTTAACATCATCTTCCTGCAAAAAAAAGTGAATGAGGTAATAAAGTTATGTTTAAACAATGAATTTATATTAATAATGATAAAACGTTAATAATTATGAAAATATTTCATGATGTTTTATATTTACGCATATTGGTACACGTGTGAAAATAAACTATTTTGTGTGAAAATAACTGAGATTTCATGATCAGCATATATCAAACTTATAAATTATGTGTTTTGTGTAGTTCTAATATAGATAATTTTCTGGTAGTAATTTTGTACATGTGTTCGCTGCAGCATGGATGTCATGTAGAAGAAGCAGCAAAAAGCTTCACTTTAAGAGGGAGAATGCTGCCAAACAGAAATCACTTAAATTTTGATCCAGCTAATCCGAAAAGCATAAAGTAATTAAATATAAAAACCAATATTGGTACTGCATTGTAGATATTAATAATTAAATAGGCATCTCACCCATAAAAAGTAATCAGCTTGATTATTCCCACTATCTTTTCGAACCTGCAAGTAGAAAATCAGAAAATCAAATTAGTTATGCATTTCACTATGTTTACATTATGAAAATTGCAATATATAAACATTTTCAAATGAGTTGTTAAAGAAGCAATTTATACCTTTTATTTTTTTCTTCAAATCATATTTATTTCGTAGCCAATCTCCACCACAAATTAATGCTTCGACAGTCTCTTCGTTTAAACTAGCACGATAAGCATCAATTACTCTTCCACCAGCACTAAATGTGGACTCAGATGCTACAGTAGAAATTGGAACAGCTAGTATATCTCTTGCCATCTTTGATAAAATTCTATATTTCAAGCTGTTTGTCTTCCACCATTCCAAGGCATTAAAGGAAATCTGAAATTTTTCATCACATATGTAAACTCCTTCTTCAAGATAACTTTTTAACTCTGATTTTACTGGGGCAACAATTTCCTTTTCCCGAAAAATGTTCATGATTTTAGAAAATCCTGATATAGGAGCTCGAGGTGGGAGAGTGGAAGAGAGAGATGATTGGTTCACACTAGTTTGTAGCTCACTATTTGGGACTGACCCTTGCAAACTTAAAGCACAATACTCATTGTACAAATCTTCTAAAGCTGCCTTCACTTTTTCAACATTTTCCATTGCCTCAACTTCTGATTTGTATATAATTGGGAAGCAAATATTTACCACATGCAATTTACACCTTGGATCTAGAACACTAGCAATGGCCATCAGCAAATTGCATTCCCCCTAATACTTGTCAAATTTTACTTTCATTGGCCTTGCCATTTCTCTCATAAAATCGTCATTATCTTCAATTGCAACATCAATTACTTCTTTAACCCGATAAACTTCAGGGAGATATAAATTGGCTGTGGGATAGTCACTACCTGATATGACATTAGTAACATGACTAAAAACTTCCTAAAGATTACAAACCTTATCAACCTTGCTCCATTCCTCTGCAGATGGCAAGTAATTATAATATGGTTCCCTTTCCTTGTATTCCGGAAATACATCTTTGAATATCAAAGCAGTAGAAAGCATTTCAAATGTTGAGTTCCATCTAGTGGGACAATCAATAACTAACTTTCTTTCTTTTACCCCCATCTGCTTAACAATATCACAAAAAGTCTTCAACCTCGAATCAGATTGATTGACATATTTAACACTTTCACGAACATTCTCAATTATACCTTTGATATGACTAAGGCCATGTTGCACTAATAAATTCAGAATATGTGCGCAACATCGTACATGAAATATGTTTCCATTAAGGACTAAATTACTGCTTCTTGACAATGTGCTCTTAATATTTCTTATGCAAACATCATTATATGCAGCATTATCAACAGACACAAAAAATACCTTATTTTCAATCCCCCATGATTGCAAACATTTAAATATTGCATCCGCAACATCAACCCCACGTCTAGGAGGTGGCACTTTGACAAAATTCAACACTCTTTTTTGTAATTCCCATTCTGAATCAATAAAATGGCCAGTAATGACCATATATTCAGCTACTTGGTGATTAGATTTCCACATATCAGTGGTTATACTAATCCTATTCACATTCATTAATTCAGCCTTGAGACATTTCTTTTCTGCCTGATACAATGTCATGCAATCATTTTTTATTGTTTGACGTGAAACTTTCTCAAAATCAGCATTTGCAAACTTAAAAGCCCACATCCAAACTGTGTCCTCCACAATGCTAAAAGGATACTCATGTACCATGATAGAAGTAGCAATAATTTCTCTTATCTTCATATTAGAATACTTACCTCCTGATGCAAGGAAAGGGTTCAAGGTAGAACTTATAGGCTGAAACTCTATGGTTGATTGCTTTAGTCGTGATTGGTCTATTTTCCTTCTTAAGTAACTTTCTGAATGCCTCCTCAAATGGCTAGTGCTAGCTCCAAACCCACCCGTAGCAAATTTAGCTTTGCAATAGTTGCAAACTGCTTTTTGTTGTCCATTAGGGAGTTTAACTTCATGAAAATCATTCCAAACAGCTGATGTTTTCTTCTTTTTCTTTTCTACGACTGAATTTGCACTATCAACCGCTGCAGCACTATCTGTTACTTCTTCCCGGTGTTCACCTCTTACTTCAAGTTGATTGGGGTCACTTGGTGCACTAGCAATAGCATTACCACTTGCACTTGCACTTGGAGTAGAGTCCATTTTCTAAGCATATAAAAAAAGAGTACAAAAAACAGAACAAATTAGCATCATAAAAGGATGTAAGTAAACTGAGATATATATTAATGTAAATAAATGTGAGAAGATGCTCATTAGAAGAATGCATTTCAATGGAGTTCTATTTGGGAAAAAGAAGTCAATACCAAGGAAACAGTCCCATTAAAAGGAAAACAAAATTATAGTAACTCAGAAATCACCTTTGACAATGGGTTTTGGAGTTTAATGAAAATTATAGCCACAGAAAATTTATGCATGCGATCATTTAAGAAAAAGTCATTCAAGTTTAAAAGACAGCTTCAAATTTATGCATGCTTGGAGTCTAATATGCTCCAAATGGTTATGTTTAGTCAACAGTTACAATTATATCTTGCAATGTTTAAAACACATGCAGCAAATAGCACTTTATGATTTGTGAGAAAGTATTAAAAAATATCATTTCTAAAAATGGGGAAAACGTAGATATCCTACTAAAAGAAAGATATTTAACTAAAAAATACAGAAATATTTAATACAATAAACAAATGAAAGAGACTTGATGCCTTAAAATTTAGTGTCCACTTAGAAAAATTGCACAGCAAGAGTAATAAGTTTTAGAATAAGAAAGAAAAAGGTAGAGATTGATCATATGCATAGCTAAATCTGTAATGCATGTACTCTTATACAAACAAAAGATAGATGCTAAGAGAGAACGATGTAGAAGAAGAAGAAGCACAACTGAACAAACAGATATTAACATGTCTACAGCCAGGCATTACAGCAGCATGTTTGTTTAGTTCAATTCAAAAAAGTCACAAGCCACACCAATTACTATACTAAATTAGCAATCAAAGAAAACAAACAAGCCACACATATTAGTAAATGCTCTTCTGTGGCTTATACTACTATTTATGCAGATTGCAGGCCAAAATGTACTAGTCATTTTTTTATGTCCACCTCATCCTTCCAATAAAAACACCACCGCTGCCACTCTTTTTTTTTTAAGGTGACAAGCAATGAAAAATTATCAACCACTCTTCAAATTAAATAGAAAAAGTATGTCACATATCAAGTTTAACACCATTCACAAAACATAACCTTCGGAGTACTTTTCAAGGCTAGATATTTTTAGACGAATGGTTGAAGCATAGTGGACAAAATAATTGAAGTCTCAAGGTGTGGGAGTTCACTAATACAATAGAAACCGATGCAGTTAAAGGTTTGTTTGAATTAACCCTTTCACATATCCAAAAGCTTAAGCAATATGCACACTCTAAGCTGAAAAAAAAGGTTCAACTATCAACATTTTCAGTTATATATGCTTATGTGTTGGCATGTTTAATAAAAGCAGAACAACCAAAGTCCAATGGAGTACTTTTCATATTTGGTGTGGACTGTAGATCCCGCTTGGAGCAACATTTTCTCTTTCGGAAAGTAGGAATAACTATGGAGCAATTGAGAATAAATGAATGAATGGATATAAAAAAAAAACTGAGCTTGCAAAATGTGAAGCAACAAACAACAATACTGCATCGACCCCAAAAGCAAGCGAGAAAAGAAGCATTTATTTAATATTTATTTTGATTATGAGCATATGAATAAGGAAAACAAAATTACTATTAACAACTCAAAATAAAGCAGTGTTACCAAAAATAAGAAAAATGATTGATGACATCTGAGTGAGAGAGAGCTAATAAACACCCAAAACTTAAAAACAAAAACAAAAAGAAAATGGTATGCAAAGCATTTCATCGAGAAGAATCAGGAATGAATACCAGTAAAGTAACAGGGTGTGGAACCAAGAGACTTGTTCAAATATCAATACTTTTTTTTAAAAAAGAGAGAAGGAACAACGCAGTGCAGGAAGAACCCCCACCAGGGAAGAAAAAACAAGAATACCCAAGAGAATGCGAATCAAAAATCAAGAGTACCCAGGAACAATGTACACACTTGTGATGATCAGAGCACTCACCGAGTCCCCCTTAAGGAGCAGTAACAGTGAGTTCAGCTACGCCTACAACAACAACAAAATCAACCCAGAAGAGAATCCTAAATTTCAAGGCTAAACCAGTAGCAAATCCAAAATAACAGCACCTTCGCAAAATCTAAAAAGTTAACGAAAGAAAAAAAAACCTGGTAAACCTTGATAGATGAGTGACCGGCGATGAAAATAGATGGGTGACTGGCGGTGAGAGACTAAAACTTGATCCTTTGGGTTTTGGTGAGACTAAGGTGAGACTCCTCTTGAGTAGTGAGATCTGATGTAGAAGAAGCTGCGCATAGCAAAAGAAAGAAATTAGGTTTTGTCATCTTTTAAATATAAATAATATTGTATTTTTTTTATTAAAAATTTAAATAGGCCGACCTACATGCCAAAAGACCAGACTTGTTATATTTAGCCTACGGCCTTGTTTCTAAATAGGCTCATCTACAAGCCTTCACCTGTCCTAATTACCTCGAAGGCTGGGCCGGACCAGGCTTTACATAGGCCAGGCCGTAGGACTCTGTAGGCCGCCTGACCTATTTACACCCCTACATGTGAGTAGTTGGATACAAAAGAATTAAAGACTAGGATTAAATATAATTTTTTTTATTCTTAACTAGATTAAATTGATCTAGCCATAAACGCTAGTCATGGCAACTGGCAAGAAAAGGAACAATTGAGAATTATGTTTGGGACCCTTCGTTAACTCGGTGATGGAATGTGATTGGATTTCGATGCTGAAGTGGATTGCTTTGAATTTGTTGCATGCACACAATCATTGAAGACGGCGCTTTAGCACTGCATGACTAATTCGTAATCCTAGAAGCGTGCATTCTTTGATCACTACAACAATAATTGCGTCATATTTATACTCGAGTGAACCAGCCTAATGATTGTCTAGCAAAGATAAACATGAACTACAGTCTTAAAAGTGACCCGTTACCAAACAACCTTTAGAAATAATAATATATCACCATACTTTTTAAAAAAACAAAAAACTAATGCAATTATATAATTATTAATTTAACGATAACATAGAATTTTATTTGTTTTATTGATACAAAATAAAATTAGATAATGTGATTTTATTTTTATTGACTTTATTCATATAAAGATAACATAAATACAAAGTTATGTTTATGTCAATTTGATAAAGAAATTTAATCTCCTTAATTTTAAAAACTTTGAAAAAAATTGTTGGGATTAAAATCATCATACTCAGAACATATTTAACAAACTAATGTGCAAGATGCAATTTGGTATTCATCCAATTTGGTAAAACTGTCGTCTAAATGGAAGACAGCGATATCACTCGTGCGAACCAATGACGTTTCTTTCTTCCTTTATTTTTTTTTTTATTTTTAAAAAAATTAAATTGATGGAATTGCCGACCCCAGTTTGTTGATAGTGGGGGATCTCAAATTAATTAATTAAACCCCTACAACCAAAGGTGACTCGGATATCGGATATTTGTTTTCAGCTAGCAAAGAATTAGTATTCGTTTGAGTTTTTAAGATATTAATCTTACTTGTGATCATCTTTTATTGTATTATTTTATTTATTTTGGATAATAAAGTAAAATATATATTTTTAACATGGGAAAGATTATATTTACTATCATTTTAGGCTTAGCACTCTTACTATTTATTTGGTTATAAGTTAAAAATAAATGTATTATTTTTAACATACTTTTTTTTTGTATTTGTTAACAAGCGCCGATAACATTAATTAAGAAGTATTTTATAACCCTCATTAAATATTCACAATTACTTAAAATAATGGAAAAGATGTTGCTATTCACCGATCGAGCGCATTTGCATGTAGCTTTCCATTCAAATGAAAATATCATACTAAGATATGAGCGAGGTCATACATAACATTAAGAAGAAAAAAATGTTCTATTTACTTCAGTGTTTATGCACGAACTTTTTATATGTATGGCTTGGTTTATGTTAGGTTAGATTTGACCAAGTATATTTAGTGAAATAAAACAAGTTCAGTTCTAAAAAAATTCCCTTTAAAAAATAGGTTTTAGGCATACTCTTCAAGGCTTGGCCTATGAGTTTAAAAGTTGACTTATATCATTTTATTTATTTTAATTATAATAAAATAATTATTTATATAATTTTAATTAGTAATATAATATTATTTATTTTATTGAGGAAGGTTATAGTTACAACTTTTTTTTTACAACCATATCTTATTACCATTGATTTCCGTCAATCAACGGTTATCATTTATTGTGAATTAATAATTAATTAATGGGTTTAATTTGCTAAAATGATAACCGTTAATTGACAGAAATCAACGATAATAAGATATGGTTGTAAGAGATTATAAAAAAAAAAGATTGTAACTATAACCTTGCTCTTATTTATTTATTTTTCCTTTTTAATAGGTATTGAAAGTTTGGTAGACTTGACTAATAGGTCTAGGTATATCTTTTTATTTTAAATATAAATCAAATCGGACCTATAATTTAACTTGCAGTAATCTAATAGATTATGTCAGACTTAAAATATTTTACATAGTCATGCCTTACTTATACCAAGATCTAGGGGTGTTAATAGATTAGGCTAGACTTTGGGTTAAATAGGTCAAGTATGTGTAAAAAATCTTAGGTCTAACCTGACCTATTAGCCTGTGTAGATCCAAATTATAAGTCTAACCTGACCTATATTTAAAAAATAAAAGTCTAGGCCTAGGCCTGTTAGCCTGTTTAAGCCTATTAAACATTCAATAATCAGAAGAAAAAAAAACTAAAATAATATCGTTTTATTACTCAAAATTATTAAAATAATAATTTTATTTATTTTATTTAAAATAAATAATATAATATAAGCCGACACGTAGGTTTATAGACTCGACATGTACAAAAAAAAACTTATGGCTTGCTTTCTAATAGATTTTTTTAAAAGCTTAGACCTGTTCTATTTGACTATTTGTAATAGGTCAAGTCTGACCTAATATAAATTAGGCCGTAGGCCCCTTAACCCGGCCTAACTCATTTACAGTACCTCTTTCAAGATCTAATCTGACCTGGTCGTTTATATCTCTAGGTGCAAGAAACACTTTCCTTCATTATATATATGCGACAAGCTTTTTATTTTGTAGGGTTTCTTTGAGATCAAACTCTGTGAGCTAATACTGTTATATCAACCAATTACGTACGTCAATCAATCGATGATGCTTTATCACAAAGTAGAGAGCCAGATTAGATTTTTAATGAATTCATAATGGAATTAATAGGGAAGCCTAACTTATTAATTAATAACTTAATGTGAGCTGTTGCCCGTTTTTTGTTGCACCATAAATGCAGCCTATTAATATGCGGATATGGCAAAAATGAACATTTCCTCTCATGAAAGGGTAAAAGTGTATAATTTGTGGCTGATCTTATCCCTAATAATAATAATAAAATAAGAGAAAAATATTTCTCAAGCAGCGTGAGATAAGTTTATCTCCGGCATCCTAAAACTACGGGCTTTTTGACCCTTTTACCCCTCATTAATTAATTAATAACCAATTTGCCCCTGATCCAGAACTATCCACCAATCTGTCCCCTTTTAGTCGACTACCTTGCTTTTTTAGTCGAGCAAATGGTCAAAATTCAGAAAGTGGATTACATCAAATTTAGTCGACTAAAAGTCGACTAAATATCGACGGATTTGTTTTTTAAAAACCCCCCCATTCGGCAGAGGGGGAGTAGGAAACCTAATCGACTAAGGAGGCAGCCCAAACCCCAAATCCGCAGGAGCAGCTGAAGAACGCCCCAAACCCTTCCCTCAGGCGTGTGGATTGCACCAAAATACGGTCCAAATCGTGAAATCTCAAGGATAGGTAAGGTTTCTTAACTTGCATTGTGTTTTAGGTTTAGGAATTTTTTTTATTTGTTTGCTGTCCGAATTTGTGAACTCTAATCAAAGCGTTTGTTGTAGGTTTTGTAACCCTAATCTACTAAGGTTTATTTTTTTGCATTGTGTGAATTTTTTTGTTTGAAAAGTTTGTATGTGGAAAAAGTTTGCTTTTGGTTTACAGCCCTTATGTTGCAAGTTTTCATTACCATAATGACATGTTTCATATAGTTAAATGCTGACATGTTTCATTGTAGGTACCCTAAACAAATGACGGGCCGCAGAAGACCAAGCAATGAGGGCAATGAGTCACTTGAGAGACGCACCAAGCATAGGCAAGAGCGGCCTTCTTCGTCAAGGCGACAAGACGAAGAGCCTGATACTGTTGACCTCCCGTATAGGTATCTGTTTGAGGACGACCCTGCCGTCCACGCTTCATTCCTACGTGACCATTTGAACCGGCCGTTATGTGCTCCAAAATCTTTGGATACAGCCTTTTTTGATAAGGAGGGATTTGAAATTGTAGGGGTGTTGGAGGCGGCACATCTGAGGGTGTTGGCCGAGACCCTATGTCCGTATTCAGAGCTTATGGTGCGGGCCTTCTACCATAACCTCAGCTACGTACAGGGCGAGCTGAAGTCGAGGGTCTGTGGAATAGAGATCATCATGACGGTACCTGCATGGTTGGAGATACTCGGCTATGATTTTGACTCTTCTCAGACTGTGGCGTATGACGCTGATAGTGGTGTAGTACTTCCAGGATATGTACGAGAGGATGCCGTGCAGGAGCAGAGAAGAGTCCGTGGGGAACACTTGCACTATACGGTGGGGTTGCTTTCTGTGGAGTCCCGTATACTACACTATGTCCTCACCCACGTTTTGTTTCCGCGATCTTTTAATCATTCCAGGGTGTTGAAACATGACATTCCCATTATGTGGGCTATCCGACATGCCCAGATGGTGAACTGGAGGCACTAGTCGACTAAATATCGTTACTTAGTCGACTAAATATCCCAAAAATGTAGTCGATTAAGATGATTTTTTAGTCGACTAAATTTGATGTAGTCCACTTTCTGAATTTTGACCATTTGCTCGACTAAAAAAGCAAGGTAGTCGACTAAAAGGGGGCAGATTGGTGAGTAGTTCTGGATCAGGGACAAATTGGTTATTAATTAATTAATGAGGGGCAAAAGGGTCAAAAAGCCTAAAACTACGTCGTTTTATTTATTTATTTTCTTATATTAATTGATTCACATTTGAATGGTTATGATTCTCTTTTTCTCTCTCTTTATTTATCACTATTGATTAATCTTTGTACAATTATGATTTAGTAGCCGGAAATAGAATTATTTCAAAGAAAAACGTTAAGCCCTAATAATAATAATAGTAATAGTAATAATAATAAATGACTATTTGCAGCACGATTAGCATAAATTGGTAGCACATTTAACTATCAATGGTAAGAATAATCTGGTATAACTTATATATGTGGCAACCACTTCTTCCTTTTGTGGTCCTCCCCGTGCATTTTTTGGTTCCCCGATACCTAAGCTGTCGAACTCTCATACAAAATTCGGTGCGTTCGAACTCACCCAATTCCTGTCGAATTTCCAAATATGATTCGTATTATTCTACAACATCCATAATTCCATATGAGTATTAAAAAATATACAATATTATATATGAATCAAGAGATTCTATTTATTTTTTCTAATACTAAAACGCGTGTAGTTGAGAAATAAATTTATTTTGAAATGCTTCCCCTTAATTCTCACAAGAAATATAATGAAAAAGCATACATAGCCTCACAAGTCACAATACAATTCCAGAAGTCCAGAAGGAAATGGTCTTAGACTCTTAGCTATATTATCCGAAAATAAAGTCCTCATAACTGGCCTCAATCGCATCCAGCTTAGAATGAAAGGAACATTTGACCTGCGTAAGACCCAAATTTTGGCAGAAAGTAGACATGATGTAACGAAGAATTAGTTATATAACTTTAAATTACATAATTTGTGTCATTTCACTCTTATAAAGAAGTGAGATTCACATCTTTTTTTTTTGTCCATTCTCTCTCCTTCATGATTTATCTCTTTCTCTCATTTAAAATGACATAACTTTACCTCCTTTAAAATGATACACATTTTTTCTCAAAATTTATAGGGATAGGATTTGTTTACAAATTTTTTGTGCAAATTACACTAAGTACGACCGGTCATACTTTAATCATACAATGTACGACCGGTCGTACTTAGTATAGTTTGTAAACAAAAAAAGTTTGTAAATATAACCTGAACTCTAAATTTATAACCACAAAGTACAAAATAAGCTAGTTATTCCTTTTTATTCCATAATACGTATCCACAAACGTTCCCACTGAAACTATATAATATTCTATCAAAAATTTAATCCATGTTCGTACGTCATGTTTGAACCTCTGACATGTACAACTTACCCTACAAATTGGTGGCATAATACGAACAGCAAATATCCCCTACGCTGAGAAGTACTAAGAACCCACGAAGCCAAGTGACCTATCATTTTCATTTTCATTTTACAGCATTCTTATTCAATTAAATAGACTACATAAATCCATTGAGTTCAATTTAAAAGTAAAGTTTAAAAAATTTTAAATAAAAAAAATTATTTTTCTTTTTACTTTTTACATATTCATTTAATTAACTAAGAACTGGAGAATATATTCGCCCACAGATCTCAAGAACTATGGATAATTCATGCGTTGTGTGTATCTTCAGAAGCTGCGGCCAATAAAAAACATGAGTGCGTTAGTTTAGGATATATCTTTGTGCTGGAGGTTTGGAATATGTTTATTTATTAGTCTCACATTAAAAACAAGCTTTGATGTTATCTAGAAAGGACCAAGTAATGCGTTGATTCATGAAATGTATAAATTATAACCACAAAGATTAGAACTTAGCCATTTGATTTAAAGTTTGAAAAGTGAAAGCCAATCTTTACAAGCGCGTAGAGCCATATATAGACAAAACAAAATACTTAAAATGTGAGAACCCATATGATTCGAGAACACTTGGACATCATCCTTCATTAGCTGTCATGGTCCCCCCACTCTAGCTAGCCAAGTCAACCGATATGATCTCTCTCCCCTTGCACTCTACACGTTTGTAATTTTTTCCCAACCACTTCCACTTCCACCACCTTCAAATCCAATTAATCATCCTTTACATTCATAATTGGCTCCTCTTATAATACCACTATATATATATAGCTTCACAACTTTGCAGGCACTGCAGTCTTCACCAAATACTTCTCTTGGCATCTTTTGTCCCTCTCTTTCTCTCTCTATATATCATTGGTTGCTATACTTACCAACCAACCAAAGGCATCATCTTTTGAAATGAGAAGTAAGTTCCCTATTGGGTTTCTTCTCCTTGTAGCCGCCACCTTTGTGGTGGCTTACTCTACTGGTAACTTATACCAAGACTTTGAAATAACATGGGGTGATAACCGTGCCAAAATCCTTGAAAATGGACAGCTTCTCACACTGTCCCTGGACAAGGTCTCTGGCTCTGGCTTTCGTTCCAAAAATGAGTACTTGTTTGGAAAAATTGACATGCAGCTTAAGCTCGTGCCTGGTAACTCTGCTGGCACCGTCACAGCCTATTATGTAAGTGTCCTTTAGTTTTAGCTAGCTCTCACATATATTACCAACTTATTAAAAGAATAGTCAAACTTTTTTTTTTATATTTTTAAGTAACATGACAATAGCATAAAAAATTCTACCAGAACTTTCATGGCATAGCAATGTATGAAAATTGGTCCCGAATTGGATTAGTTGCGAAGCAATGAACCGATTAGAATATTTTCAAAAATAAATAAATTAAATTCTAACATTTTCCAACAAAAAAAGAAAAAATTAAATTCTAATTATTATTATTTAATATAAGGAAATGTTATATTTATAAACTTTTTGTTTGCAAACTCTTACAACGTACACTAAGTATAACTGGTCATACTTCAATCAAGAGTGTATCATCGGTCATACTTAGTGTAATTTATAAAAAAAGATTGTAAAGGGATCCTTCCCCATTTAATATAAGGGAAAAAGATTTGTCTTTTAAAATATATAAGTTGTGTCATTTTAATTTTTAACACTATATATTACGTGTATTACAGGTAATACATAATTATAATATGAAAAATTACTTTTTTTCCTCTCTTCCGAGACATTTCAACTGACGTGAGGAGAGAATTTTTTTTCTTTATATTATAACTATATACTATTAAAAATTAAAATCACACAACTTATATCTTTTAAAAATACGCACTTAACCCTTAATATAATGTTCTAACATTGAAATGAAATCAAATAATAAACATGTTTACTTGTGATTGGTGCAGCTATCTTCTCTGGGGTCTGCTCATGACGAAATAGACTTTGAATTTCTTGGTAACTTAAGTGGTGATCCATATGTTCTTCATACAAACGTATTCACACAAGGGAAGGGTAACAGAGAGCAGCAGTTCTACCTGTGGTTCGACCCCACCAAGGATTTCCACACATATTCCGTTCTATGGAATCCTCAAAGCATCATGTATAAATTCTTTTCCAAAAATAACAAGAGCCAAAACAGATATTATTATTATTATTAATTTCTTTGTTCATAATAATTTACCTTCTAATATTGTTATTTCATATATACATCAGATTCTCTGTGGATGGGACACCAATAAGGGAGTTCAAGAATTTGGAGTCAAAAGGGGTTCTTTTTCCAAAGAACCAAGCCATGAGGATATACTCAAGCCTTTGGAACGCTGATGATTGGGCCACAAGGGGTGGACTTGTGAAGACAGATTGGAGCCAAGCCCCATTCACTGCCTCATATAGAAACTTCAATGCACAAGCTTGTATTTGGACTTCTTCAGGGTCCTCTTGTTCTTCCAAAGTTTCTCCAAATTCAGGCCAATCATGGTTGGGACAATCAATGGACGCAACGGGACAAGCCAAAATTCATTGGGTGCAAAACAACTACATGATTTACAACTACTGCACTGATACCAAGCGTTTCCCACAAGGCCTTCCTCCCGAATGCTCACTTGCATGAAAAACCATTACATGTTTAAAAAAAAAAGCCCCACATAGGACGCATGTCATACGTGAACTTCTTTTCTTCGTTTTCTTGTATGAATTAATACTAAAAACTAGGATTGTTGGTTTATATTTTGTTGTGCATTCCATTGTTTGTGAAAATAAGCTTTTAAAATGAGATTTGTGGCATTGTATTGTATATATGCTGAAATTGTAAATTATTTTCATTAATAAATTTGTTTTGAGAGTTGAAAAAGTCTATGAAATTTTGTTGTTTGATTGTGCTATTGTAGTCCAAAATTCCAAATGCCATAATGCTCTCCATTCACCTAACGCACCACGCTAGATATAAATTGGATATTTGGATGGTCACCGTGGCACAAACTCCTCAACCTTTTGACAATCCCTTTCGACTTTTCTGTCAATCAACAGAAACAGGACATCATTCAAATAACATAAACACAATGCAAAGCAATGAATCATCACCCTAATCCACCTTTAACACAAAACACCAGCAAGTGCCAAGTGGCACAAATAACACCGCCACTAGCACAAAATACAATTCCAAATAAAAATTATTTGCGTGACCTCATGCTACATAAAAGCAAATCCTCTACTTAATATTAACATCTTATTAAAAAAAACTGTATGTTCAATCCTCAATAATTCAAGATATTCTCTTATAATATTGTGAAGGTAAACATGAAAGTCTTCTCAAATATGGCCAAGTTCTGTCTCAATATGAATTGATAGTAGTAGCATTAGATGACCCCACAACTAATTAAAAGCTGGAAATTCGGTTTAGAGGTTTTCTAAATCAACTTTTAGAAAAGTTGTTTGTATTATTGTGTAATTATGTTTGGTTGGGTGTAATTTGCTATGTTGTTGTTATTATGGTTCCTTGGCTATAAAAGAAAATTTTGTGTATGCTTGTATTCTCAGATCGAGTTTACAGAAATAAAAGCTTGTATGTTTTTCCTATGAATTTCTAAAGAGTTCTTTCTTCTCTCTGAAAACTTAGTATAATATTCTTACTATAATTACTAATCTCTTGATGAGAAAGTCAGTATGTTCTACACTTGCCCTGCAAAGGGATCCTGTGTATCAAAAAACTGACTCTTAATGATCCAGTATTACAGTCCTCTCATCTTTAAGAATTCATGGATGATAGTCCCCAATGAAAGAGCTAAGAGGCTAAGGGGTGTCGTGAAATACTCAGATAATGGATGACTAATTCATGGTTCCTTAAAGATAGTGAGGCTCCCGACCACTTGGTATCAGAGCCAATCACTGTGTCATCCCCGATGACAGGCTCCCTGCCCGATGGCAGCAGCTTAAAGGAAACTCTTCGAGTTTCTTCCATATAAAGGATAAAGATAGTAATGATATTATATGAAGTGAATAGGAGAGAAATTTTCCAAATTATGGATAATACAAACACTGAAACTCTCGACCTATTATGCTACAATCCATAAGATTATCATTTCTTCAGCAAAACATTAAAAAGAGTGATGTCAGCACCAATTATTTAAAAGTCATTTTATTATATATTGAAACAGTAAACATATGATAGTGACTTAGTAAGACATAACAAGGAGATATAGATGAACCACATAACAATAATCCATACGCCAATCTTAGAGGAATATGTTAGATCACGGCAAGTGTAAGTATCGTGTCAGTAGTAAAATAAGACCACGTCGATTGGCATTGACTACTGAAATAATGAAATTCAGGAATTAAGGAAAACTAAACAAATGAACAATTAAGTAAAATTAATATAGTCAAAGAAAGTCTATAAATCAAACGTGATGGATTAAGAATCTAAAATTTGTTTTTTTATAAAAAATAAATAAATTAAGACTTGGGTTTAAATCAACTAGGGGGTGAAAATGGACCACGCGGCCTAACAAGGGCCTATGCTTAGTCTACATCAGACCAGACTCGACCTATGGAATATAATTAAATAGAACAGGCTCAGGCTATTAAAAATGTCTATTTAGAAAGTTGTCCATAAGCTTTTTTTTTTACATGTCGAGCCTATAAGTCTACAGGTCGCCTATATTATATTTTTTACTTTAAATAAAATTATTATTTCAATGACTTTGAATAATAAAGTAACATTATTTTAATTATTTTAGTAATTATTAAATTCCTAATAGGCTTAAATAGGCTAAAATGCTTAAGTCAATGCTTTTTTTTTTTAAATATAGGACAAGTTAGACTTATAATTTGGGCCTACTTAATAAGGCTAACAGACCAGATAGGCCTAAAGCATTTTACACAAACTTGACTTATTTAATTCAAAGTCCAGCCCAGCCCATTTACATCCCCCAACAGTGAGTAATGTCTTCTTAGTCGAGGTTGATATTGTTTTTTAAGGTGAATTATTTTATTCTATTTTTTTTCTCTTTTAAGTTAAAAAATGTATTAAAAATGAAATAATATACACTTTTTTGGTACTACCTTAATCAAAATCCATTAAGCTTTTTGATAATTCATAAACCCAAATGATTTAGTTTATGTTTAGAGATCACAAATTTCGGCTCATGACTTATTAGTAGGGGTGACAATTTTTAACACGGCACGAAAAATTTGTATTCCGATGGACTCATTTTCAAATTTGAGCTGTATTCGTATTGTTAAAAATTGTCATGAAAAAATTTGTGTCACGTTGTTGTTTTATATTTCTCTAACACGCTCGCTCACGCGAGAGCCCATTAGACTTGAAGAGTGGATAATGCACAAGCACACCTACCTGTGCTTAACGAACTCCTCAATACTTAATTATTTATTAATTAAATGGGGGCAGTAAGGATTGAGCCTGTGACACCAAGGATTTAATACCATGTTAAAACAAATTTAACCCATAACCTTAAGGCATTGGGTGAGGCTACATTAATGATTTTATATTTCTCTAACACACCCCTTCACACAAGAGCCATTTGGGCTTGAAACGTAGATATTGCACATGCCAATATTTTTGGTTTATCTTGTGCTTGCTTTTTTTTTTAATACGTGCATTGTGCTTACTTAATTCCACCACAAAGTGGAGGGCGGTGAGGTTCAAACTCGTCCACTTTGTCACGATAGCTCTGATACCATATAAAAAATCATTTCAACCTAAAATCTTGAGGTATTGAGTGATGCTACATTTATGATTTTATATCTCTAACATATGTCAATCTACAAACACGATATTAACCCGCACTAATCTTCTTCTAGGTTATTTGTGTCATGTTGTATCGTGTTTTATTATGTCGTGTCAACCCGCATAATAAGTGACACACTTTGAGATTGACAAGTTATTTGTATGTGTCGTGTCAACCCACAAAATAAGCGGATCGTATTTGTGTCGAAGATTTTGATACATTTTCAAATTTGTATCGTCTTCATGTCAAGAATATTCATGTCATAGCAAACCTCAACTCGACAAGAACACGACATTCTAATACAGATTGTCAATAAGAAATTTTGATCAATATTAGGTTTATCTTTTGATTTCTCACGTGGATTCCTTGCGTCATACATATAAGGTATCTATCATATATTTATATTAAGAACACTAAAAATGAATGGAAAACAAATATTTTCCTTAAATTAAGAAAATAATTAAGAAAAGTTACAACATTTTTTATGAGTTAGTTATCTAGTGCTATAAATAAGGAAATTAGCCACTCACATTATAGAGCAATCATCGAAATTCAAGAAATCAAAAGACCTCATGATAGATTGAACTAGAAGGAGAAGACGAAAATTAGATGAGAGAAGGGTCTTGTCGTTGCTATTGAATCCTTGTGACCACTTTTTTTTTTCTTGGGTATTTCCTTTGTGTCGTGTGTATTTTATTTGTGTTTACGTCTCCTTATAGTAATATACGTCCCCTTATTTCAGAGCCTTGGAAATCTTTTTGCATCTTAAACTCTTTAAATTCTTAAGTAGGAACTCAGTTCTAATTCTTAAATAAAATTCCTTTCTAAGTTCTATTATTAAAACTTGTCTAAATTGGTCCAAAAGTTTTTAAATTAAACATGGAAATACAAAAGGAAACATAAAAGGTATAAGGAGGAGAAAATATTAAAAATCAAAATAAAACTAATTTAAACCAATACTACAAAAATTCAGGAATTTTGTGGGGATCATATTTATAAATTGTGTCGGTCTTTGACTCCCGCAAAAGACATTAGTGACATCCACACCAACCACAATATTGCATACGCCAAAACACTTTTTCTGGCATTTTTGTATGCAACATCATAATTTATTGAAGTATTTTCTGGTGGTTCCAGATCCTCACAAATGTTGCACTTTCTGGAGGTTCACGACCCCCACAACTGTTGTACTTCTGGAGGTTTACTAACCTCCATAATATATTTGACTTCCTGTCACTCATAGACCCCCACAACATTTGTCACTTCCTAGAGGGCATAGATTTCCACATATCTTTTGCAAACTTAGATGCCCCTTTGCCTTACTTTTTAACAACATTACCCACATAAACAGAGAGAAAACATCCACGATTGTCAGGAAGAATTTGTGTCCATGTAAAGAAGGAACAACATATGGCCCCCATATATCAGCATAGACCATTTCAAAAAATTATTACTATTGAAATCACTAAGAGGGAATGGTAGCTTACGTTGCCTTGAAAAGTGACATATGTCACAAGGTTTTATATCATCATAGGAAATAAAAGAATAAGTCTTAGACATCTGTCTGAAAGTATCAAATGATAAGTTCCCTAAACGATAATGTCATAGTTTGGCTTCATTTGATCTCTTGGCTACATGAACAGAGACCTTATTTTGAAAACTACAAACTTGTGTGCCTTTTGAGTGCAATCAATGAAATAGAGTCCTTCCTTCGCATTAGTTTTACCAATCATCTTCTTGGTATTTGTTTATTGTATGATGCATGAGGACTTGCAAAAGTTTAGGCAACAAGGAATACATTAATAAGATTTGAAACTGAAATCAAATTGACCTTGAATTTAGGAACATATAAAACATCTAGTAAATACAATGAACTAGATAAGGAAACAATTCCTGATATGTTAGTTAACACACGAACTCTATTAGGCATTATAATGGATATTGATGGTATTTTACAAATTGAATTGAAAAGTGATAGCACTAAACAGACATGTTATTTGGCTCTTGTACCAAGGATCCATTGGATATTAACTGTAGAGTCATTTGAAGGCAAGAAAGTTAAGGCTATATTCAAAGTAAATCCTTTTGCTAAATTGTTA